TTTAATATATTGATTAGTTTGACATATACATATTATAAGGTGATATAATTAGTAAGGAGCTCTTGATAATTGAATAAATATTATAACTTCTTTCATGATATATGTGTATCGAATCCATACATAGCAAAATATTTTTAATTTCATTTTTTTTTATGTACATGCAATTTTTTATCGCCTTATAATTCATTTGTTAATACAAATTCAAGAAAATTATAACTTCATAAAGATTTAAAGTTCACCAATAAATTCAAAGCCATTTCTTGTCACTTGCAAAAAGCATATTCTTATTTTTGTATGAAAAAAAAAATATTTTTTACATTTTTCTGTTTGGATATGTGTGCTTTTATATTTACACTGAATTAGTTTATACATATACAACTGATAGTTTGAACAAAAAGGAGATGTAGCTCAATGGTTATATATCTTAAAGGATTCTAAGAAATACGGGGTTCGAATCCCTGCATCTCCAAATACAATTTTTATCCATTTACTTATTTATTTTTAACTAGTACAGTTCCCGTGCGATGCACGAGAGTTTATTATCCCTATCCCTTTTAAAAAGCAATTTTTTGTTAAAATTCAAAGTACTTACTAAAGGAAAGATCATGTCAATAATTAATAAATTAATAAATATAATAAAAATAAAATCTATATATTATTGAACATTTCCTCATATACAAACCCTTATGAAATTCAACACGTACTAATAATGTTTTTTTTTTTTTTTTTGCATGATGATGGTTGGTGAGAATAAACGGGAGCTCAAATGTAAGTCAAATGTAAGCTTTAAATAAGATCTTTGGTGGGCTACAACACATTAAGAAAGGTATGAATATCATTTATCACATAATTTGTTATTCGTTATTGATATACCGATTCGTTCCGAGCTCTTGGAATTGGAATAAGTTTGGCAGCAGATCGCGAAATCTTGTGAACCAAACAGTCCCTGATGGTTTTCAGGTGCTGAAATTTCGATCATTATCATCGAGATCTTGTAGTAATTAGAAATTTATGAACAAATAAAATCCCACAAAATCCGATGACATTGGTTAGTAACAACAATCTCTATATAAAATAAATCAAAATCCTAGCAATATAGTTAACATAATCTTATAAATTTGGTAAGAAAAATTCAATCATTATCATCGAATTCTTGTAGTTATTATGAAATTTGTGAACAAATAAAATCCCACAAAATCTGATAACATTGGTTAACAACATTCAAACTAATTTTAGTAGGAAAGATTTAGGTGATTTATCTT